TTATGGTTATGTGTACCCTGGGTCGATGCTGTCACGCAAGGGTTTTGAAGAAGAGACGCGGAAAACCTGGGGCGTGGGAGCCACCCGGCTGGGTATATGGGGGACTCCGAGATCGGAGGCGTGAAACAGCCATGGCAATCCAAGTTATAGGTAGCTATAGGATGCAGAAAGGAGGCGTATCCCACATGTTGAGGTGCCACGACGCCACCAACGCCTTTTTCTCTTTAAAGCACAGCGCAGTCTTGAAGGTTGGGGAGAATCTGTATTGTTACGAGGATTTGGAGTTCCTGGAGGACCGAGTCACGCGAGGTTTTTCCTGGAGATACGGGGGCGACTCTCATTTTCGTTCGCACCTTCTCCCAGCCAGTGGTGCATCGCCTAGCCGATATGTTCTGTGGAGCAGGATGGCACATCGCTGTCGAAGCCAGACTGCCGTGGGATGACCAAGGGCAGGACATCAGGCAGGTCGCACTTACTGGATTTGTAGATGACATCGCCAACAAATTCATGGAGAAGGGGACAGGAGGAGGAGCATAGACCATAGCAGCAGGGTCGGCAGCGGAGAACCTAGCGATCGACATGGGAATGGAGGAGGTGGGAGCCAGCCAGAACATTAGCAAGCAGGAGAATAGATCGTTTCTCACTGGCGCTGGGTCTTATGAGTTGTCACGCGAGCTTCACCGCGGCAACTCGAAGGTGGACGGCACCGCCAAGCATCATGCCAGATATCTAGGAGGACATTGTACCTCCACCTTTTTTTTCACCAGTTCCCGAGCTGCTGAAGCGGCAGCATGCAGTACGTGTGAGCGTTTACTCGATGGGAAAGTTCTGGTAGTCGTACGCCCCATGGAAGCTAAAAGCCAACCTGGTCAAGAGTCTTCTAGTGAATACGGCTCTGTCTGGAATGGAGGTCTGGGCCAAAGGCACGGCCCCCCTGGTACCTAGAGACCTCGCGGGACTCGAAGGGCTCATAGTAGCCAAGGGCCGAGCCATACTTCAAGGGACGTGTTCATGGTCTGAGGGAAAACTCGCACATTATCCAACCATGAGGTTTTACGCAAGTTTGGTTTGGGACCGCTACTCTTGGAACTTAGGCTTAGACGACTAAGATGGTATCAAAGTATGTCCAGGGCGAAAGAGTTTCACGGGCAGCTCTGGGCAGCTATGTTCGGTATTATGGCGGTTGATGGGGAGGTATTTACTAACGGGAGTGTGATAGAAAGGGCAGCCTTGGGCACATCAGTTGCAGCAAGATATTGGTTCTTTGGCAGCCATCGAAGCAGGAGCCGACCTGCTAGAAGAGGCTGAAGGCTGAGCACAGACTAGATCGAGTATTATTTGAGCTTGGAGAGGATTTCCAGGCAATCGATGTCAGCGAGTTGCGGGCCGCCTTTTTGATGCAACCGCCAGCCGTCCCCAGCACGGCTCCCTCGACGGACCAGGGCGGCGAGTTTGTTTGCAGAGAATTTATGCCAGACGGATCGCAATGTCTATCTAAATGGCCGACATACAAACAGCTCGTCGCACATATCGCTTCGACGTCGGGGGGTACGCGCAGAAGGCTGCACATCGCAAAAATATGCACTATTACAAAATCAATGTACCATGTGCTCTGGCGTTCTTCGTGATCGCACGGCCGCCTTGCAGCATACTAAGCGAAGTCTAGTTCGTCAGTTCTGCCCTTACAACAGAAGGTCGCTTCGAAAATCATGTACTCGAAACGGATGCCAGGAAGTGTCATGTATGCCGAGAGGAGTTCGACACCGCAGCCGAAGTGTCCAAGCATACTTTCTCTCATCTTCGTCCTCTTCTGGCACCGAACTTTCATATTAAGGTCGCAGGACGACGCATCAGGCTTGGTGAGGCCTCGCAGCAAGAGCTTTGCGATCGCATCCGAGCAGAGAGAGAGAGAGACAGAGAGAAAAAAAACGAAGACGGAGGACGGGATGGAGGTCGTATCAGACGAGGAGAAGGAGAACAGCGCCAAGCAGTCTGTGCGAGACAAGCTGATCACCCAGCTCGAGACTCGCGTGAGAACCCTCGAGCAGGTCAATTTCACCACCCTCATGCTGGAGCGCAAACATCCTCTGGTAGAGGCCATGCTCAACAGTTTCCAGGACTTCCTGAAAGTGAGGAAAGCAAATCCAGACAAGGAGCTGGCCGCCCCCGCGTGCCAAGCCCTTTTCGCGGCTCTCGCCGTTATCGAGAGCTCGCCGCCCGCGGACACATCTCTGCGCATCCAGGCAGGCAAGAAGGCGTGTGCCAGGCTCCAGAGGATGATGTCCAAGTCAACGCCGTTCCAGCTGTCGAGGTGGATCAAAGAGATGACGACCACCCCCACCTACGACCGCCCAGGCCAGAAACAGTTCAATCGCATTACGTTGTCGCTCAAAGGCAATATACTGCTCCCAAAAGATCCAGCCGTGGAGGAAGCTCTTCTCAAACAGATCGAGGAAGCAAAGGGAGGGGAAGGGGACGAGGTAGGCATACAGATGACGCCGCTCGACCTTCCCAGTGAGCAGATGTCCATGGCAGGCATGTGGGTGAGTGTTGAGCAGGTGTTGTGTGAGCAGATGCGCAGTATAGGTGCCACAGTGCAGTACAATCGTGCCCCGAGAGGCAACATGGCCAGGCAGCTTGGCGGCGGCAAGAAATCTTCTAAAGGCCGCAACTAGGCCATTTCCTCGGCCGAGCGCCCGTGCTGGGCTCCAGCGCTGGCCTTTCAGCCTGTTGCAGTTGTGCGTGAATGATCTGCCTCTCTCTGTGCCCTTGATTGTTTGTTGTGTTCAGGAATAAGAGTGCTCGTGTATTCATATTGCGTGTAATCTTCTCGTAGCACAGTCTTTTCTCACACGCACAATTTGTAGCAGCATGGTTGCCAGATAGGCGAAACGTCGACAGGGGGTTAAACAAGGTTTTAACGGCCCCAGCCAGAGCCAAGTTTCGTTTTCCAGTGGAACGTCAGACGGCTTGAGTGGCTTGAGTGCTGCTGCTGCTCACTCCTGTCCCGCCCTGCGAACGTGCACTCCCGCTGCGAGAGTCTGCATTGACAGAACGGCTTACCGCGGCCTTCCAACTACACCACTTCTTCCAGCACGGTCCGCCCCTCCAAGAAGGCACTGCCAGACCGCGGCAGTCATCAGAACACGTTGTGTGTTATCAAGCATCGCCCCCTTCCCGCTCCACGAGCCCCATCGGCGTGCTTTGCCGCTCCACGGAGGCCACGCCAGACAGCGGCAGCCATTGGCACACCCAGCTATTTGTTAGGGATGGCGCCTTCCCCACTCCACCGTTCACCCCAGTTCTACCCGATGCGAACTTATTTCGGAGTTCCCTTTGCGCTCTTATCTATGTGAATGGTACGTTTTTGCTGACGGCTGCACGAGTACCACGACGCTCTCAACCTGGAACCCACGAACCTCCGCACGATCCGAACCATTCGATCACACGTCCCCTCCCAGACCTCCGACATCGAGGGCCCGAGTCTCTCCTCCCTGGCGTCGCCGATGCATCGGCGTGGCAACGGATATGCGGTGCGATCCTCCGACCCCATTCGGGATGCCCGGCCTCCATTGCCGCAGGGCTTCTGTCTGCGCCGGGGACCGAGGGTCGTCGCCGTGGGCGCCGAGGCGTCCGGGGATCTTCTGACCCGGGCCCATCCAGACCCCGGTCAGTCAGGCCTGCAGGATCCTGCAAATCCGGCAGGACCCTGCAGGACCCTGCATCCAAGCCTGGGTCAGTGCACCCCCTCAGAGATCCGATGTCGTCATTTTTTCAACACGGGGTCCCCGCAAGTCTCGACCCATTCCCCAGGACCGGTTCTTCATCCTGGGTCGTTTTTTGACGGTCCTGAGGCCCGGCGAGGGCTCCTAGGGGCCGAAATTTGCGAAAAAACTCCGTCTTGCTTTTTTCAAAATGTTGGATCTCTGGGCCTGGCCCCGCAGGATCCTGCAAGACCCGGCGCTCGGACTGACCCCCGCGCGGCGTGCTGGCCCCGTCCGTCGAGCCTCGAAGCGTCGGGGGCCTCCCCATTCCCCGGGGACCCGCTGCCCATCTGCAGGACCCTTCCTCGAGGGCCCCAGGGCCCAGTTGGAGCCCTGGCGGCGGAGGACGTGCCAGAGCGTTCCGCCGTGCCCCTCTGTGCCAAGGCGCGGGGAGGGCTGGGGCCCACTCTGTCGCTCGCGATGGCGCCCGTGACCGCCCCCGCCGCCCCCCCTAAGACGAAGCCAGGACGAGGACAACGTCGGGGGAGGATGAATCGAGAATCTCTGAGCTCGGGCGGCTCTGGAAAAGATGCCTCGGGTGCCGCGGCCTTCTCAGAGCGTTCCGGAACGCTCTGAGAGCGTTCCAGAACGCTCTGGAACGGACGCATCCTCGTCCCAGCCCCGCCCGACCTCCTCTGGCCACGCCGCGATCCGCGCCTGCGCCGTGTGGGAATCCGCCACGCCGCAGCATTTCCAGACGGCACCGGCGCGAAACGTGCATTGACCAGCCCCCTCCCGCCCCCTCCCACCCCTTCCCTAGTCACGCTCGGCGGGCTTTCGGCCCTCCGAGGGTTTCATGCCTCTCTCTCTCTCTCTCTCTCGCTCTCTCTTCTGTGTGTTTTCGTTCGTAGCGCAAGCGCCTTTGCGCCTGGAGCCCCCAAAAAGCCCAAGCGCCTGGAGGAATGAGACATGAAAAACCTGCAGTCTCCCCCGCGGCCGAGCGCTCCGCGCGCGTGCTCCAGCTCCGCGGCCCCTGCTGCGCCGAGAGCACGGCACGGGCCGCCATCGCCAGGGGCTCAGAGACACAGTCTCTTGTCGGCCGCGGGGCCTCCCTTCCCTAGAGAGAGATAGGGAGGGAGGGAGATACGGAGGGAGGGAGATAGGGAGGGAGTGAGAGAGGAGGAGGAGGAGGAGGAGGAGGGGGAGGGGGAGGGGGAGGAGGAGGAGCAAAAAAGTCTTAGTCACGCCCGCCATCGCCAGGGGATCAGAGACACAGTCGCTTGTCGGCCGCGGGGCCTCCCCATGCGTGTGGTGCCGTAGGAGCCCGTGCCCAGCCCGAGCACCACCGGCGCCGTGGGGCTCCTGGAGGAGGCCGGGGTCCGACCCGGCGGGTCGCAGAAGCATGGCTGCTCTTGGACACCGCGAGCAAAAGATCGTTACTCGTTACTCGTTATTCGGCGATGACTCGTTATTCGTTATTCGGCAAAAGATCGTTACTCGTTATTCGTTACTCGTTATGATCGTTACTCGTTATTCGGCGATGACCCGGGTTACGGGAGGTTCGCGTCGTGCCGACTTCGGCGTTGGTTTCTGACACCGCGCTGGATCGTTCAACCTTGAACGATCGGCCGTCTCCGCAACGTCCGATCGTTCCACATCGACCGATTCTGGGTCGCCGCCGGCGTTCAACGTTGAACGCCCGCGCTGGGGTCGCCGCTGGTCGACACGACGCAAACCTACCGTATCTGGTGGGGGGGGCGATACCAGCCGATGACCCCTGGCAGCCCCACGCATGCCCGCGCGCACCAGTACAGCGCATCCCCTTCGGACCTGCGCAACTGGCGAAGTCTAGGTATCCTTGGGAGGCGGGGGTGGGCGAGCGCGATAACCCGGGATGTCGCCGGACCCTGAACAACAACAATCACTGAACGCCATGCACGATCGCCCACATGACCCTCGATGCCTGAGTACGGTGGAGGCCAGTCCACAAGAAACCTTCCACAAGAAACCCGACCCTGAGACCCCAGGACGTCCATCGAATTTTGGTGCGGGAACGCCACGCTGCCCAGGGAAGAACCAGCGAAACCCAAGAAACCAAGGGCACCCTGGAGGCGAGCAGGGTGTTTCTTGGCATGGGCCTCCGCTGGTAGGGAAGGGGAGGCCCTCATATCCGGGCGCCGCACTGCTGTTCGCAGCGGGCCCGTTCGCCCGGCTGTTTGGGCCCCGTGGCCAGCACGAGTCGATCTGGTTCGACACTTGCAGTTCTGCAATGACTGCGCACGGCCAGGTGCGCGTGGGGAAGAGCCGAGGGGCGGAGAGGGAAGAGCGGGGCCGGAGAACAGCCGAGCGTCCGACGTCGCGGTGCGTTCGAGAACGGACCTCTGGGCATGGGGCTTGCCCGGGCCGCGTTGGCTGCGGCCCTGGGGGGCCCGAAGGCGGCCCTCGGGGGCCGATGCCGAAGGCACAATTTTTTGGCTGTAGGCGACAGCTGAGGAAAGGCATTGCACAAATCACGATATTGGAGGTCTGGGGAGAGGACACAAACGTCCAAGGCGATATCAAAAACGAAAACCGAACGAACCGACCAAGGGCTAGAGCATTCGGGGAGTCTCCTCTTTTGATCTGGGATGCAGTGGCCAGCCCGCAGGTCAATCAGCAGTCATGCCGGGTCTCAGGCTAGAGCGGGCACGAGTGAGCACACGACGGTCCATGTTGTGACAACGGACTCTTCTACCCGAGCGATTGTGCTACAACCGCATGAGGAACGCGCTTTCTCTCTCTCTCTCTCTATCTCGCTCTCTCTGGGAGCCACGGCCCGCAGCAGCTGCTTCTCAAACTCGGAAATTGGTGAGACTTACACACCAGCGAAATAGACGACTGGGGCACTGGACCCAAAACAAAAGCTCCCTCCGTCTTGCCAGACCCAACTTAGTCGAAAGGAGTCTGCTTCGATATGCACAGAAGAAGGCATACCTTATCATGAACACATGTGTACTGTGCACTCTTCTGTAATTGCGCAAGCGCAGACTTCAGACACCTCGTGGGACTGCGGGCTAAACGGTGAATGGATTTGGCCTCTCACCTTTTTCGATCATGCTGCAGCGTGTTCACTGATATAGCGTGATGCCGCGACACCTTTATGATCAAATTCGTCACTCGTGCAGATAACAAAGCAGGACACGCGCACCGACACACACACACACATACACACACACGCACGCACGCACGCACGCACGCACGCACGCACACATACACACACACACACACACACACACACACACACACACACACACACACGCGCACGCGCACGCGCACGCGCACGCGCACACACGCACACGCACGCACGCACGCCCGCGCGCGCACGCACGCACGCACGCACGCACGCACGCACGCACACACACACACACACACACACACACACACACACACGCACACACGCACACACGCACACACGCACACACACACACACACACACGCACACGCACACGCACACACGCAAGCGCGCCCACATCGACAGAATTTGTCAGGCAGACGGACGCAGGATCGGACACATTATATGGACAATCAACGCTCTCTGTCGAAATTCCGGGGGCGTATCCACTACACGACGAAGCTGTTAGGTGAACGACCGTTTCTATCAATCGACAGAGAACGATGATGAGTTAGAGGTGGAAGGGCAGCAGGACGTGGCGGCGGAGGAATAGTAGATGTCGAAAGAAGAGGCAGTGGACAAACATGATGGCGTTGAGAAAGAGGATGGGAAAACAAAAGGTGAGATCACGCAGCTGGGCAAGCA